AAATATATGAATACATATAAAAATATACAAAGACAGATGATTATATATAACTGTATAGACATTTGCAAGAGAACCAAAATTACTGCTATGAAATGCACTAGAAAAAAATAATCTAGGAGACAATATTTATAATCACTGGATTATGAAAACAAGGCCTTTGTAACAAGGCCAAAGGCGAGGAAGACTATTCATGGGCATGAAGGTGTTTTCATCTTGCAAACACAACCCAATATGTGAATTGTTGTTTACCAAAGTTCTTTGATCACCATTTCATTTGAGCTGCTGAAAAGAATTTTGACAGGCAGGACAGCTCTCACCATTTTCAGAAACATGATGAGGAAGTAGAAGAAACTAGCATAGATTATGCTTCCAGGAAGTTTGGAGATATTTCTCATCACAAATTTCATCTGCAATAATAAATATCTACTATTTATGTAGAGATTCTTCAAGGCCAACCATAATATGAGCAAACAGTTCCAGGGAACAATAGTAACTTAAAAACAGACTTCCCTAGAGCTTCTCATGTTTCCTTCCTAAATCATGTATTTGATTCCAATAGCATTAGAATCTGGGGAGATTTAAAAATACTACTCACAAATAGAGGTCTTTAATTTAGACAGCTTAAAAAAAAAAGGGACACTTCAATTTTCCCCTCTGGTTTAATCACACTAACAATCTAAGTTTAAAGGAACTTGTACATGTCAGCATTGGGCACAATCCGCCATTCCCTTCTAACATCCAAATCACTCTCTGATGATCAATTGTCTCTGTAGCATTTTTTGTACATTTGTGTAGCATTTTTTTTGTTTATCCAAATAGCAAACATTAACAAAGTCCCAGATAGAATAGAATAAATAGAACCAGGAGAGATACTATTAGAGAGAAATTAATCGTTTCTCAAGAGGTAAAAATCTGCGATGAAACTACCTGTATTGGTTGCCTACCTCTATTAACTAAAGTTCATTTCAAAATAGTTTTTCCTGCACAAAGTTTGAATCCTTGGATTTACTGCAAAATCAAGTTTGTGAAATGGAATGAAGGTAGCCAGAATCTTCTTAAAGATGCTTTCATTTTAACAATACATTTCAATATAGGAATTATGGTTTACTAAAGTCACTCACCATCATTTCACTTCATTTTCAAAGACATCTCAAAACATATTTACCATGAATTTGAGGACTGTGAAATTCACATGGATTATGGCCTTGGAAATGGCGCAACTGGCACAAGAGTCTTGAGCTTCTACTGAATACTTATAGATTCTTTGTTTCTCTCTATAGTTTCTCTACATGCCGACATGGATTGTTTTAGCTTATAAAAATAAAAAAGTTCGGGCCCTCCCTGGTGGTGCAGTGGGTTAGAACACAGCGCTAAGAAGCTAAAACCACTCCAGCATGAGTTCGATCCCCGCCTGCCCCGGAGGTGACCCACATGATGCAGCAGACCTCTCCTGACCTGCCTGCTGCTCCCCTTAGCAGTGTACCTCATCAGTCTGCCTGTTCTGCTCCCCACTCTGTCTCTGGGGAATCCTCTCACCACTCCTGCACCTCTGACCTGTATGCCAGTTCTGTATGCATAACTAAATAAATTTTTAAAAAATAAATGAAAAAGCTCTTCTTGTGCACATCTGGTCATCTGGCAGAGTCATCAAAAAATAACTATCAAGTGATAAACAATACTAGTGGCTCAGAAAGTGAGTAATTCAGAATGTTAGGAGAGAGAGAAAGCTATGCTGACTTTTATTCTTCTTAAATCTTTGGGAGAGTAACTTTTCAAGTTTACAGTTTTGTTTTTTTTTTTTAACTTGAGGCAATGAATACCTGTAAGTTGTTCTAGGTTCTTAAATGACTTGGCAATATAACTTTGTTAAGCTCCAGTGATGGATGAACCATGCTTGTCCACACATTTTATAACACTGTGAAATAAACTAGACTAGGAAAATAATGTATTGAGCAACTAGAGTTAGTACTGACATTTTAAAATTGAATTTTGTGGTGGGAGCTTTATACAGTATCAACAGAATCAGTAGAAGTTTTCTACTGAGTGAAGAGAGATGAACTGACTCAGCTGCAAGAGCAAATACTTTCAGAGTAGTACTCTAATTGTCAAAAGATACACACGTGTGCAGTGACAGATCTGTCATTTGTTAGTTCTATATTAAACCATGTAAAACACACTGCTTAAATATATGTATGCACATGTAAACATATTAACAAAGAGTTTGTACTTTTGGAGTTATGATTACTTGGTAAAATTCTACACCTGAAAATCTTGATGATGCTTTTCTAACAACCAATAGATGACAGTGAATCAGTCACTGGAATATCCAGTCTTCTTTTAGGGGGACACCTTTCTCTCATTTCCTTATTTGCACTTCCCCCAGACACAGATGCAGACAATACACAACTATCATTACATAACTCTGCCTACAGAGCACTTTAAGATGTGCAGTAGTGCAAGCTGTGGAGGTACTGGTGGGGACAAGATATGATAACTCAAACTCCAATTTCTTGTGTGGCTTTGACAGTGGGTTCAAATTTTAACTCTGACACTAAGCAATTCCAATATCTCCAAGTTTCTTATTTTGTCTATCCTTAGTTTATGTTTCTGAAGTAGGAGCAATAAAATTCTTCATAGGGCTAGAGCGAATTACTGGATGATGTATGTAAAGTACAAAATAACTTATTATTGTCATTAGTTATAATATTTTGAAGATCTTCAAGAATATATATGAATATATATTTAAATTAGCGAAGCATAAAGGGAACAATCAGCAACATAACAAAGGTATAGTCAAAATGCTCTACTGCTAAACTGGTGGATTAAAAAAAAAGAAGTCCTAAATTTAGCCTTGGAACATATGATTAAACCAAGCAGAGTTGATCATTTTTCCAGGTTCTATAAATACTATCCTCCTTTGCCACTAAATGAATAATGATGTTTTTAAAACATTTGTTTGATGCAACACAGAATTATGTATGGGAAAGTGGTCTTGCTTTTAAATTCAGCAAGTTGGTGAGCTTGGCAGAAGGAATTCCAAAATAGGATGAGAAAATAAAATGAATGGTCTCTGAAAGTTCTCTTCTGTGTCTGAAATACTGATTCCATGGTCAGGATATTTGACAAAATTTCCACAGCAAATGGACATAAATATAAGACATAAAAATAAGACAATAGAGAAAACAGAATTATCAATGACAGTTCCCGCTTCTCTACCTCCTCTCCCCCAAATTATGTTTTGAAAAACTGCCCTTGGAACAGAATTAACATTCACCTCATGAAGAAAGAGTAGTTATTTTGAATGAGTAGGGTCACTGAGGGAGGAACTCTATTAAACCAAACCCTTGGGGAAGTGAATTATTTATTGATTCAGTTTGTGGTCTAAAGTCGAAGAGTGTGTTGAGCGAGAATGGAAACCTTTTGTCATCGTGTTCTATCAGGAAAGTGAAGGGGAAAAGGATAGAGAATACATAAGCAGGACTAAGTGTTGTATATTAATTATAGTGCAGGGGGAAGGATGAAAAGGATGCGAATACGAAAAAACCCTGATTAAAACTTACTAAAAATAATCTTTAAACTTATTGTTTAGCAGCAACTAAACCTGTTACTTTTTTCTAAAGCATCTAACTTGTATCAGAAGCTCCTTTTGCATGTTTTTGCTGTCTCCTTAATTCACACATTTGTTCATCAAAAAAAATATTGGTTACTTGTTATAACAGATGTGAGTAAACAGATGTGGTCTCAATCCTGATGAAGGTAAGTTCTAGCCAAGGAAATGGCATATAGACAGAAAAGAGGGGGGAAAAAAAGACTTGGGCAATCCAGAATGAATATCCATGCCTTGAGTGGATAAAACTTGCTGTACAATGTAGTAATCTAAATTGTCCCCTTCATACTCCTTGATAACAATCTCTGATTTCAGTAGTAAAACAACAGCATTTGTGAAAAGTACAATGCTGTCACAAATGAATGTAGATAAAACTCTAGAGGACCGAAATGTGAGAATATTATCCTCTTAAAAAAAAAAAAAAGATGGATGTAGTGTAATTTGGTTGTGATGGAACATTCTTTCTACCTCCCATGATGGATTCTGTGGTACATCAACAATTTAAATTACCCCCCAAATTGGACCCTGACTTTAGGATTTATAAAGGAAGTATTTTCAAAAGAGGTCACTGACTAAACAATTCCTTTAATCAACAGTGAGAGGATTTACTCAACTGATGGGGCCAAGCTTTCTTCATGAAGTCTTGGATGGAACATCACTTCCTTGGTCCCCATCACTCAAAAGGGTAAGAGGATCAAATGAATTGTTTAATGCAGATTTTTGGTTTATTCAGTTCTTTTTCATCTTCTGTAAAGTGATTACTAGACTTAATCAAGATTCCTTTGCGTACCATTAGCTAATTTTAGCTTCCTCCCTTTTTATTTTATTTTTTTTATAGTGAGTTTGGAAAAGCCCAGTTTTAAGTCCTGTGGAGTTCATGTTTTTCTGTTCAAGCCTTGAGGGAAGCTAAATTTAAAAGTAGGAAAATAGTAATTAAAAGTGATTAGGACAAGAAGTTTTGGTGCTATGAAATGTGGACTCAATTCTCCCTGTCACAAGTCGAACCAAGAGGCACTTTTTGGTTTTGATTATGGCTTTACTTGCTATTTTAATAAACATGAACCAGTATTCAAACTTTTAATATCCTGCTGTTTAACTATTTCCAAAGAGCCATCCAGTTCTTTTAAACAGGCTTTGTTTTAAAATTTTAATTTGTTTGGCTCAGTCTCACCTTAGAAAGTTGTAGCCTCCTGGTAAACTCTTTTATAAGTTGATTTCCAGAATCATAAGCAATTTTTCCCCCTCCCAACTAAGTGTTTCCTCATGTGCCAAAATTGTGGGTGCTGACAGCTTTTCTGCCTTGTTTTATCTGGTTCCCACAGTAAGTATGAGAGACAAACACAAGAATGTGTCCAGTGTTGACTGGACGCATCATGACTACAGTGATACTTACAACTCCTCTAGGAAGCGGAGACTGTGTAGGGGGCCTGGGGGCAGCTGACTGATGTTGTTCATGCTGAGGTCCCTGGAGAGCAAACAGACAGTGTGTGAGGAGCCGCGGATGCCACAGGAAACCCAGCTGTTCAGTTGACACATTTTCAAGTCATACAGTCAAACGAACGCATGCCTTTGCTTGACCAGTGAATCACTATTTTGCATTTTCTGTCTATTCCTTTTCTCTTACCCCACCAGCATCATGGGCTCTCTATCAAATTAAAGACCCTCTGAGGAGCTTCTATGGAATTCATTATGATTTAGACCATTCATGGGCACAGTAGAAATGTTTCACGTTTAAAATTATGTGAGTAGGACAGCAAAGGAAAAAGACATTCACTTAAGCCTAGAAGTAGCTTGACTTTGTGTCTTGCTTTAAATTTTGTGACAAAGAGGATTGTCTTCACCGTGCAACTCTGAAATTCCTATTTCTCTGGGACTATAAACATCTTGTAAAAACAAATGTTTTGATTCAAGGAAACTTCAAAAAACAAAACAAAACAAGACAAAAAGCCTATTCCCTCCTTCTAGCATGTTCCTTTTGCAGGTTCTCGGATTGCATTAAATAAGTGAAATGAACCATAAAACAAGGGTGTAATGTGACCCCACGCTGTAGCACACTTCCTGCTGGGCCTGCACAGTAGTTCCTGGCACAGGAAACAACAAACCACTTTGGGGAGAACTCAATCAATTTTTGTTTTAAGCGAAACTCCATGTAATTAGATTTTATTCTGTTTTTACTTTTCTGTTTCTTAACTGTCTCCCATATAATCCCTCAGTATCACTGGTCTATGCCATCTGTATTTCAGCAGCCAAAAGACAGCTGGGTAGACAGATGCTAACCAAGACCAACGCAGACTTTATATCACTATGGTAGTCAGCTGAAGGGTGACTGAGATGACGCCTTGCTCAAGACTGATGACTCAGAACTAATCCCATTACCACCTCAGGTTGGATATAGAAAAAAGACAATGAGCTTTTTTATCTATAATTTAAAAGATTGATTTAATTGACATATAACCTTGTGTTGGTTTTATCAGGCATAAGTGTTGCAAAATGATGATCACAACAATCCATTGCTTCACAGGCACAGAATTTTGTCAGTTTTGTGATGAGAATGTCTAAGATTTATCTGTAGTCATTTTTAAATGTAAGCAATACGGTATGGTTAACTAATGTCACCAAGGTGTGCGTTTCATTCCCAGGACTTATTCATCTCACAGTTAGAAGTTTGCATCTTTTAGCTACCTTCATCCTTTGCCTTTTTGAAAATCGGGATTTCTTTTGCGATCAAGCATTAAGCTAATGAATGCTGTTTCCCGTTGCACCTAACCAGCTGCTTCCGTGACGGTAGATCGCTTCATACCTTGATCAACTATTAACTTTTAATTAGTGGTGTTAAAAATCGAGGGACCGTGAAAAAGTCATGAGCACCTACAAAGAAGGTATTTGTGAAACATTTTAGAGTACGACCAAAGAAGAGAATGGTACATTTTATTTTCCTTTTAGAAAGTTTATTTATTTATTTATTTTACCTCATTCTTCATTTTGTACATTTTTTCATCTCGGTTGTAATCCCCGTGGCCTTCCCACCACCAGTCCACGCATGTGCCATCACCATAGTCCCGGGCACTCTTTCCTCCCCAGTTTTGATCTTGTTCGCCTCTCTACCCAGGTAAAATGTCTCTGGTTGATAGTTGTTTTCATTTTTGCTCTTTACCTTTTTTTCCCCCTGATCCCTTATGCTCTTGCTATGAGTGAAACCATTCGGTATTTTTCTCTTTCTTTCTGTCTTATTGAGAAGGGTGCTGCATTTTAATGTCTGTTAGTAAGTCAAGAGATACCTGAGTAAAATGTATATTCTCATGCTAAAATCAAAGAGTGCCAAAAATATACACTAAAAGTATTTGTATCATTCATTGGTTAAAAAGTCTCTATTTTTGAAATGACTGAGATGAGACCTAAATAATTAGCAATTTATTTTTTTTTGTGCAATTCTCTGAAGTAGTGAAGTTGTTTAGTTTATTAAATGGGCATGCATTAAGCTAATGAATGCAGCTTCTGGATCCCTCACAGTGACTATGTAATCGCTGAAAAGACTTGGTATTTCTCCAGGCTAGTCATTTATTTCTGATTGATATTTCACTTACCCCCTAAGAGGACCAAGGCAATTTTGCTTTTGGAGCATGTTTCTAGTGACCTAAATCAAACGGATGTCAATGTCAAAGCAGTGGGTGCAGCTAACTCTGATTTTCCTCTCCTTGTGCATTTCAATGTGATGTTATAGAACATTTTGGTCTATATACAGAAAACTCAAAATAGAAGAGGTCAATTTACATAATGAGGAGATACATCATCACTACATATTATACTAATATTCATTGTTCTATTTGAAACACCAGGAAGTAGAGCTTATATTAAAAACCTTCACTGTTAGGGTTCCCATTGGAACATCTTTTACCTGGGAGCAGCACAGAGGGGAGCAGCAGAGAGCAGGCATTTGGGATGCAGTGTCGGGGACTTGAATTGTAGCTTCTCCATCCACTAGCTGCATGACCTTGCTTGGGAAAATCGAACTCTCTGTGCAGACTTCCTTGTATTTAAACAACTACATTCATCTTTTGAAACTCGATGATTAGCTGCTTTCAATCAGAAGGGAATAACTTAATTTCTTAAACATGAGAGAATTTGCCTTTTGCAACAGGAATTAATAACTTCTCTGTGTGTTACCTGACATTGTAGTTCGTCTTTGAAAGTGAACTCATATTACTAAACCAAGACATGACAGCCTGTTTTCAAATACAGGCTGTATTGGTACTTCTTTTCAAGAGCTTCTAGCCATGCACATAAGCCAATTTCAGAAAATAACTTTAATAATAGTAGTCTAAAGTAAAATGAAATGGGTCTTTAAATTAGAAAGTCAAAGTGGGTTAGATAAAAAGTTAGTCTCTTCTCTTTTGTGGACAGCCTTTATAGTGATGGTCAAAGGTAAGAGTGGTTCTCTAGCTTAGTGCTCCCAAACTATCCATGGTGAGAGGCCAATTTTTCAAAGTGTCTAATTTGCTGTGAAATTATGTTTTCATAAAATGTAATAGCAACTAATAGCTGGAAAAGTAATAAATAAATAAATATACAAAATACAAGCCTTGATAGCTTTCAGTGTGATTCAGCAGAGATGACTCAACTGCTAGAAAAGTTTCTAAAATTTAACTCTCAAATCCTAACTGTTGAGATCAGTAAAGACAGCCATGGCCTGGAACCCATCCTTGGACTAGAAATGCCTCTTCTTGCTTTTATGTCAACAAGAAGAGGCTTCACCCCAAGGAATCTACTCAAAGAGCACAAAAGCTGCTGCCTGCCTGCCTGCTTTTATCGCAGCACTAATTATAGTTGATAATTTTGGAAACAACCCAAATGCCTACACATAGATAACTAGATCAAAAAGATGTGGTGCATATACACAATGGAATACTACTCAGCAATCAAAAAGATAAACTCATGTCATTTGCAGCAACATGGATGGAGCTGGAAGGGATCATGCTTAGTGAAATAAGCCAGAAGGAAAAAAAAAAGTATCAGATGGTTTCACTTATGGAGGAACATAGAGGAACCACATATGGCATCAGGGGAAAAAATAACAAATAATAAACAAAATTAACAGGCAACTATAAATCAGACATTCTGCAGAGGAAGGGGACAGAAAGGGGTAAGAACAGGGAGGGAACAGGATAGAGGACCATGGTGATGGGGCATGGGTGAACTGATGGTGGGAATTTCATGGTGATGATATCTGAGAGGAGGAAGCAAACACTGTACAGAAATGAACAATGAGGCCCTTCCTGGCGGCCAGGGGGTTAAAGTGCAGCACTGCAAGAGAGCTGCAGTTGCTTCAGTGTGATTTCGATCCCCTCCCCCGAGGTGACCCACATGGCGCGGCAGACCTCTCCTGACCTGCCTGCTGCTGCCCTCAGCAGTGTTCTTCATCAATTCTGCCTATTCTGCTCCCCACTCTGTCTCTGGTGAATCCTCTGGCTGCCCCTGTGCCTCTGTCCTGCACCCCAGTTATGTATGAATAAATAAATCTCTTTTTTATTATAATAGTTTATTTTTACATAATTTTGTGCCTTTTCCCATCTCAGTGGTAACCCCCATGGGCTTCCCATCACCAAATCACCCATGTGCCATCACCATAGTCCCATGCACAATTCCACCCACTCCCATTCCCCACTCCACCTCTGTAAAATGTCTCTGGTATATAGTTTTTCATTATTACTATTATTTGAATAAATAAATCTTTAAAAAAATGAACAATGATGTAAAATTACATATCAACTATCAAGAAAGATGAGGGCTTAAATTACTGCTCAGCACTGAGTTAAAAGGACAGACAGGCATGGCCAGGCGGAGGACGGGCACTGCCAAGGGTGAGGAGTCCCTGAGAGGAGGTTGGGCACTAAGCGATGGGGTAAAGTGTAGCGGGGACACCCTGGGTTCGGAGCAGCTGCTCTGCTTGCCCTGGGTTTTGTACTTCTCCTTTGCCCAACACCTTTGTGTTCTTTCCAGAAATGTCTTCATGCTTATGCAAATGATGTTTCAACTTTTCCATCTCCCTTCTATAGCATTTGCTCTTTCTGTCTTTTGGAACACATACTACTTAGCAGCCAATGAAGAATCTTAAAATTATTTTCAAGCCTGTGCATGATTCACCTTTTAAACCAATGTGTTTCTAAGAGTCCCGATTTTGTATTACCCTTCGCTCACGATTCAGTTTCCTAAAATCAGTGAAGCCACACATTGAACTTAATTTTTTCATATTGTTAACAGGCTTATTTTTTACTTTAAAAATTATATTTCATGGAGATTACACTGGTTTACCACCTCATATATGATTCAGATTCTTCAGGTTTGTATTATCATACCCATCACCATATTCTTCCACCCCTGTCCATTGCTCGCCCCCCACCCCCAATCCCACAATTTGCCTGCTACCCCCTATTGGTAACCTCAGTCTGCCAAGATGCTGCAATTAAT